GAGAAACAACCATTTAATGGATAAAGGATAGTCTTTTCAAGTGCTGGGAAAAATTGGTATCCACATGCAAAAAAAAAAATGTTAACCCTTATCTAACCCCACATTAAAAAATTAACTTGGATCAAAGACCAAAATGAAAGACCTAAAATTATAAAACTTATAGAAGAAAACAAAAAAAGCTTTATGACATTAGATTTGACAACAATTTCTTGGATATGATACGAGACACACAAGCAACAAAGGAAAAAAAGACAATGTGGACTTCATCAAAGTTTTTAAATTTTCTGCATCAAAAGATATCAACAGAGTAAAGAGGTAATCCAGAGAATGAGAAGAAATTATTGCAAACCATATATCTGATAAGGAGTTAACAAACAGATTATATAAAGAACCCCCTAAAACTCAACAATTAAAAAAAAACAAAAATGGAGTTTAAAAATGGGCAAAGGAGGTGAACAGACATTTCTCCAAAGAAGATATACAGCTGACCACTAAGCACATGCAGAGCTGTTCAACATCACTGATCATCATGGAAACGCAAATGAAAACTATACTGAGATATCACTTCACATCTGTTAGGATGACTAATATAAGAAGAACAGAATATAACAAGCATTGGCAAAGACATGAGAAAAGTAAAACCCTTGCTAGGGCAATGCAAAATGGCACATCACCATAGAAAACAGTATGGGCTTCCATAAGAAAATTAAAAATAGGATTACCATATGATCTCGTAATTTCACTTCAGAGTGTATACCCAAAGAACAGAAAGCAAGGTCTCAGATATCTGTACACCTACATTCACGGCATCATTTTTCACAGCAGCTACAATGTGGAAGCAATCCAAGTATTCAACAATGGATGAATGGATCAGCAAAATGTGGTAAATACGTACCCTGGAATATTGTTCAGCCCCCAAAAGTAGGAAATTCTGACACATGCTAAAACATGATGAACCTTGAAGACTTTACATGAAGTGCAATAAACCAGTCAGAAAAATACAAATACTGCATGATTCCACTGGTATGAGTTTTTTTTAGCATTCAAAATCATGGACAGAAAGTAGAATGGTAGTTGCCAGGGGCTGGGGGAAGAGAGTAGTAAAGAGTTACTATTTAATAGGTATATATTTTTAGTTTTAGAAAACAAAAACAGTTTTGGTGATAGATGGTGAGACAATGATTACACTCTATGATGAACTGTATACTTAAAAATTGGTAATGTGGTAAAAGTTTTGTTTTTTAAATTTTTTAAATGTTTGTTTTTGAGAGAGACAGACACAGAGTGTGAGCAGGGGAGGGGCAGAAAGAGATGAAGACAGAATCTGAAGCAGGCTCCAGGCTCTGAGCTGTCAGCACGGAGCCCAACACAGGGCTTGAACTCACAAATCATGAGATCATGACCTGAGCCAAAGTCAGATGCTTAACCAACTGAGCCACCCAGGTGCCCCTAATTTTTTTTAATGTTTATTTATTTTTGAGGGGGGGAGCAAATGAGTGAGTAGGGAGGGGCAGAGAGAAATGAAGACAGAATCTGAAGCAGGCTCCAGGCTCTGAGTTGGCAGCACAGAGACCAATAAATGTTATGACTTAACTGTTTTATCACCATAAAAAAAAATTGGAAGAAAAAGAAAAGAGACTCTAGGAGGTTAGAAGAACTCATGAGAAAAACTCTTAACAGGTATGTACACCTGGGTGGCTCAGTCAGTTGAATACCCGAATCTTGATTTCAGCTCAGATCATGATCCTAGGGTTGTGGGATCAAGCTCCACACTGACTGTGGAACATGCTTAGGATTCTCTCTTTCTCTCTACCTGGCTTACGTTCTTTCTCTCTAATAAAATAAAAATATATAACAGAATAGCACAAGATATGCAGCATAGGTTGTGAAGATCCAAGATACATTTAAGACGAGTTGCTAAGGAAATAAATGACAGTGAAGCAATAGTAAGCAGTACATGAGAATTTTTCAGAATTCAGGACTTAAAGTTCCAGAGGGAATAATAAAGTTAAAAATTTTTAAATTAAAAATCAATCAAATGAAACTAGATAAAAAATATAAATATTAAATAAAAGAGAGAAGCATGTACAACAATAGTATAGAATAAACTGAGTAACAGCTCTTTGCACCTGAAAATTTTTGTTAATTAACAATAAAACACGCAAAACCACTAGGCTATGCATGGCATCAATAAATCACAAACTAAGGGCAATGGTTTACCTCTGAAGAAGAAAAACAAAATGGGATTGGGGAAAGTATACAGAAATGTATTTTTTTTTAAGTTTATTTATTTTTGAGAGAGAGTGCGTATGTAATCAAGGGAGACACAAAGAGAAAGGGAGACAGAGAATCCCAAGTAGGCTCTGCACTAACAGTGCAGAGCCCAATGTGGGGCTTGAATCAACAAACTGTGAGATCATGACCCGAACCAAAATCAAGTCAGACACTTAACTGCTTGTGCCACCAAGATGCCCCAGGAATGTATTTTTTATATTCATTTGGTTTCTTAAAAAAAAAAAAAACTGAAGCAAATATAGTCACATGTTAAAACTTGACAAAGATGAGTGATGGATACATGATGTTCATTACAGTAGTCTCTATTTCTTTCTACTGGAAATATGACACAAAAATCAAGAGAATATAAAAGATCAAAACCAAAAGTTTAAGTGAAAAGTAAGGATGAGCCTGTGGAAGATGGGGCAGTTTGGTACTGCAGGAAAAGAATGTGAATGGGAAAAACAAAAACAAAAACAAACCCCAAAAACCAAAATCCTAAACAAAAATGCTCAAAAATGCAATTTATTATTTTATTAAAGATGGAAAAATCTTTAACATGTCCATGGAGACTATGTAAAAAATGAAAAGACAAACAGCAGCTGAGAAAACAGGCAGAGGAAAAAATAAGTGTTGAAACAGGTTGTTAGGGAAACAGGATAACACGTGGAATGCTTATCTCTAAATAGGGCAAACAGAGCTCTTCCACTAAGACTTCACTGAAAGAATTATTTCAGAAAGAGATTAGAAAGGTTTTATAGCCATGGGAGCTACAAATTAAGTAAAGTACAATGATCGAGCTTTCATTTTTATCTGGGAAGTATGACATATGGTCATTGCTGAGCAGAAAGCAGGAGAAGAAAATGGAAAGTTCAAAAATAAATGCTTATTTCGATAATTTTTGCTCTATTTTGTAAAATGGAAAGTTTGACTTTATAAATGAAATTGCTGGCACAAGGTGAGTCTGAACTTTCTTCTAATTCACTCAGGGCAAAAGATTAAATAAATGTATCATTATGGAAACACCGATAGCTGACACTTAATTTGTAATACATAATTTTTGTTCAAATTCACTTCAACCAGAAATGGATTTGAGGGAACCCTTGGTGGCTCAGTTGGTTAAGTGTCCACCTTAATCATGATCTCATGAGTTTGAGCCTGCATGGGGCTCGGTGCTGATAGCTCAGAGCCCGAAGCCTACTTCAGATTCTGTGTCTCCCTCTCTCTCTGCTCCTCCCCCACCCATGCTCTATCTCTCTCAAAAATAAATAAAATATCTAAAAATTTTTCATAAAACATGGATTTGAGAAATTAAAAGACTTATTAATTAATTTACTTATTCATTTATTTATTTAGAGAGTGAGTGAGTGAGTGAGCACAAGCAGAACAGGGGCAGAAGGGGTGGGAGAGAGAATCTGAAGCAGGTTCCATAACCAGCGCAGTGGGCCTGGATGTGGGGCTTGATTCCACCAATGTGAGATCATGAACTGAGCTGAAATCAAGAATCAGACGCCTAACTGACTGAGACACCAGGGCGTTCCAGAGAAATGTAAAGGTATATTTAATAACTTCATCTAAACAAATATACAGAAGATCCAAATCTCTCAAAGGAACTCTTCTTGCAAATCCATTCCACACACATGCAACACACAAATAACTCAAATTATCTTGCTGTCTTTATTAGCCAAATTTTAGCAAGTGAAGGCAATTCCCTGAATTTCAATGTTGCAAAATGTCTACGAAATTCATCCTTTTTAAAAAAATTTTTTTAATGTTTTTAATTTATTTCTGAGAGAAAGACAGCATGAGCAAGGGAGGGTCACAGAGAAAGGTAGATACAGAATCTGAAGCAGGCCCCAGGCTCTGACCTAGCTGTCAGCACAGAGCCCGACGCGGGGCTCGAACCCACGAACCATTAGATCATGGCCTGAGCTCAAGTCGGGACGCTTAACTGACTGAGCCACCCAGGCGCCCCTAAGAAATTCATCCTTTTAACTTTTCATCACTCATGTCTGCTGAATTCAAATGTTCAATATCAAAGGCATTACTATACCAGAATTGAAATTTTTCTGAGGTAGAGTTCTATAACAGCAGGTTGTATTAAAAATATAAAATGTTGAAGTCATTTAGTTTATGCTACCATCAAAATTAGTTGAATTTTTGGAAATATTTGTATATTTCCAAAAAGATGTTAATTCTGCCTTCTCATCATCAATCAGTCGTTCCAAAGTCTCAATATATACTAGAACATTTAGTATCTGAAAGAGCTGGAAAGTATGAACCAACTTAGGTAGTTAAAAAAGGGAAAGTATATGCAAATTCTGCAAATACAAATTCTAGATCTTTTCACTATCCCCATTAACTTCACATTTCAAGATTACCTTTGTCTTAGAACATGATAGCAAATAGCAAATATGAACCATCTGAAATAAATGACAAAAGAGACTCAATGGCATTTTTCTAATTTACAATTAACTACAGTTCTGATTAATTTCTAAGACTGTGTTCCATACTTTTCTGTCTCTGAATCCAGAACGTTTCTTCTTTTTCTCTTCTGGTTGAGGCTCAGTGCAAATACCTGAAGCCTTTTTTTCATCATTACAAACTTCCCCTTCATCTTTATTCTTCCCTTTATCACCAACTTCACTCTTTAGGTTGTTTACAGATGGTGGAGATTCTGCAAGAGCCCTAGATATGCAAAAAAAAATAAATTTGCATTAATCCAGAAATAAGTATTTTCAGGTACAGTTTAGCAGGAGCAACAGCAATGAAATTTGCAAAAAGTTCTACATGAAGAGGTTCCTCAAAAAGTTAAAAACAGAACTATCATATGACCCAGCAATCCCACTTCTGGTTTTATATCCCGAAGAATTGAAAGCAGAGTCATGAAGAGATTTTTGCACATTCATGTTAACAGCAGTATTATTCACAACAGCTAAAATGTTTGAGCAACTGGGATGTTCATCAACAGATGAGTGGATAGAGATAATATGGCGTGTATGTGTATATATATATATATATACAAGAGAAAAATATTCAGCTTTAAAATGAAGCGGATGATACCAAAAGCACAGGCAACAAAAAGCAAAGAGACAAGCAGGATATGTGAAACTACAAAGCTTCACTACAGCGAAAGAAACAATTAACAAAATGGAAAGGCAACCTACGAAATGGGAGAAAATACTTGCAAACCGTATTTTAATAAAGGGCCAATATTCAAAATATAGAGAAGTCTTATAACATAATAGCAAAAAAACCCAAAAACAAAAACATCCAAATAGCCTGATTAAAAAAGGAGCAAACATGGAAAGAGCCTAAGTGTCCATCAACAGATGAATGGATCAAGAAGATGTGGTTTATCTATACCATGGAATACTACATGGCAATGAGAAACAATGAAATCTGGCCATGTGTAGCAACCTGGATGGACCTTGAGGGTGTTATGCTGAGCGAAATAAGTCAGGCAGAGAAGGACAAATATCATATGTTTGCACGTATAGGAGGATTAGGAGGAACTTGACGGAGGACCAAGGGGGAGAAGAAGGGCAGAAATGGTGGGGGAAAGGGCGAGAGGCAAACCATGAGAGACTCTTGAATGCTGACAAAAACTGAGGACTGATGGATGTCGGGGGGAGGAGGGATGGGCATGGAGGAGGACACTTGTGGGGATGAGCACTGAGTGTTATGTGGAAACTAATTTGACAATAAACTATTTGTAAAAAATAAAATAAAATAAAATAAAAAAGTACAGAAGAAAGAAAAAAAAAGGAGCAAAGGAAGTGAAGAGACACTTCTCAAAAGAAGATACATAAATGGCCAACATATACATGATAAATGTGCTCAACATCAATAATCATCAGGGAAATGAAAATTAAAACTGCAATGAGATATTCCCTCACACCTGGTAGGATGGCTTTGATTTAAAAAGAAAAGAAAAGGTAACAAATGTAGGTGAGGATGTGAAGAAAAGGGATCCATGGTACACTGTTGGTCAGAATGTAAAGTCATACAACCACTATGGAAAACAGAATGGAAGATCCTCAAAACAAACAAACAAACAAAAAATGAAACAATAGAACTGTCAAATGATTCACAAATCCCACTTGGGGTATATATCCAAAGGAAATGAAATCAGGATCTTAGATATCTGTATTTCCATGTTCACCGAAGCATTATTCAGAGTAGTGAAGGCATGGAAGCAACCTAAATGCCTATCAGTCAAAAAATATATAAAATGTGGGGGCACCTGGCTTGCTCAGTTGGTGGAGCATGTAACTCTTGATCTCTGGGTTATAAGCTCGAGTCCCACACTGGGTGTAGAGATTACTTTTAAAAATTTTAAAAAACAAACAAACCCAGAAATAAATAAAATGTGTATGTGTGTATCCCCCACCCACAGGCATACTATTCCTGCATCAAAAAAGGAAGGAAATCTTGCCATCTGTGGCAACACAGATGAGCCTAGAGGGCATTATGCTAAGTGAACTAAGCCAAACAGAGAAGAACAAGTACTATATTATACCACTTACATTATGAATATAAAAGAGTCAACGTCATAGAGGCAGAGAATGGAATGGTGCTTTCCATGGGCTGGGGGAGTGGGAAACGGGGAGATATTAGCCAAAGGGTGCAAATATTTAGTTACACAGAGTAAATAAGTCTTAGAGATATACTGAACACCATCGTGCCTATAGTAAACAAAACTGTATTGTATACTTAGATCTTTGCTAAGAGTGATCTTCTGTTAAGTGTTTTATCACTAAAGCAACCTATCATAATAACAAATTAGAGCGTGGGAGAAAACTTGTAAAGGTGATAGCTTTATGGCATACATTGTAATGATGGTTCACAGGTATATACTTATCTACAACTCCTCAAGTTGTATATATTAGTTATGTACAACTTTTTGTATGTCAAAAAAAATTTTTTTAAGTAATTCAGAAAAAAACTAAAAATGAAAGTATATCATACCGCATGCTACAACATGGTTGAAATTTGAGGACATTATGTGAGGTGAAATGAACCAAAAGAAGAAATACTGTATTATGATCCCAATTATATGAGATATCTAACAGAGTCTATTTCACAGAGACAGAAAATAGAATGATGTAACCAGGGGCTGCGGGGGGGGGGGGGGGGGGGGGGGGGGGGG